AGAGAAGAATTTACCTGTAATCTTTCCCTGTATGATTTTAGCTACTTGGTATTTAATATAACCTCCAACCAGGAGGTAAACGTCATGAGAAGGTATCAAGAATACATTCTCCAGAACCAGCAGACGTACCAATGCAGCAGATACTTTCTAATGGAAAAGAAATAAAAAAGTTTATTACTGCTATTCCAAGTCTGCACAGAAATATATTTACTGACACTTTCCCCACACCCTTACCTGCTAAATATTTTACATTTGCCCCATGCTCCCTTGCCAATTTGGAATTTCCTCAGTTACATGTTTACTTTTATTTTTATATCGCTGTGTGAAAGATAACCACGGAAGATAACAAAAAAGGAAAAAAAAAAAAAAGCTCATCATATGCTCAGTATTTAGAGGGGGGAAAAAACAGCAAAATTGATAATTCAAACAATCCTGCTAAACGTGGTAATAAAAATAATTTTCCTCTATCCTGTTATTTATGGTAGTCTTAGCTCTGCCTGTAGCACAACAGGAAGAAAAACGATTAGATGCATGCATGAAGTATCCTCTTACACCTCACTTACTAAAAAGTGGATACCTGAACTTTAGGAATTGATACGTATTCTTTTGAACTGAAAAGAATCGGAATGGTGTTGTTACCTACAGCTACGAAAGGTAAAGCCAGAAAACATTAATGCCATAAAATTGCATTTTACAGGCATGTGGCTAAAACTGCAGTTTACCTAGAACAGCAATTTTGCAAATCTTTTTATAAAGATGGAACTTCACTGTAATTATTCACCTTGTAGGTTGATTCCTGTATTCGGACTTTTATGACTGCTGCACCAGTTTTGATTCCTGACACCAGAATCCTGTCTCCTTGTTTTTCTGCTCTTTCCAGCTCAACAATGTAGTCTGGTGGAGAGTACTCAGCTTCTGAGTATCTTAAAATCCTGACAAGACCAAAGTAACCTTTGCTAGCTAGACAAAGATCTCCACAATACTTTCAGGCTCGTTAACATAGACAACGCAGATGGACTAGCATCCTGTGGTATACCGATCAAGAAATAATAATCACAGAATTATGGAAAAAATAGGTTGAAAAGATCTCTGGAGGTCTCTAGTCCAATCCTTGGTTCAAAGCAGGGCTAACTTCAAAGGCATATCAGTTTCCTCAAGCCTTGACCAGCTGAGTGTTGAAAACCTCCAAGGATGGCGTTTCAGTGCTTAACCCAACTTTACTGTGATTTTTTCCTTCTACTCACTTGAAATTTTCCTTGCCTGATAGGTCTTGTGCTCCAGATCTTTAACCATCTTTGTGGACCTCCGTTGGACACCCTCCAGTTTGTCAATCTCTCTCTTGCACTTTGGGGCCCCAAAAATGCAGCTTCCATACTGCTCTACCCACATCAGCTGATCGTTGTCTCAGAACTATTGTGCTCCCTCATGACAAACGGGGTAGTCTATCACAAACTATTTTAAACTCTACAGTACTTATTATTATACACACATTCAAACAGAAAGCCTTCTTTCAGCAAACTGCTCCTACTACTAATTTTACTCACAGAACTAAAGATGTGAGACTGAAACATACATTAACAGATAGTATTCCTACAGCTACTGGTGGCCCAGCAACAAATTACATCTCATCTCTATCTCAGTCTACCTACCCATCCATTTCCTACCCATTCCAGAAATACCCCAGGATGAAGGCCAGTGCTAAGTATTCATTAACCACTTTTAACACAGTTACCTTATTTTGTTTGAAAGCTCTAAACTTTCCATGTTATCATCCTTTGCAATGCTCCACTCAAAAGTCATTCCTGACAAGCTACTGAATGTGTTTCCTGAAGGCAAAAATGAAAATTAGCGCGGAGAGTGAAACTCCCTGTACACTCTTAGTAATGGATTTTTTCTAGCTGACACAGTAAAATCAACCCTTGAGTAAGAGAAACTGATCAAGTCTCTCAATATTGCCTGGATTCCTAATATTCTGACCAGTAATATCAACGATAAATACATAAATGGTATCATTAAGTCTGAAGAAAGACAGTAAGAAGAATTTCTTTCTCAGGAATAAGAGTTAAACTTTGGAATCATATCAGGAGAACTTGTCTCACAAGCAGTACCTTCAACATCCAGGGCTCTCACAGCTAATTCCAGAGGAGAATCTTCCACATAGATCTCTCGAGTTCGGGAGATAATTTCAATACTATCTATCACATCAACAATGACATCACAACGAAGTAAGCGGCCTGTTGCTATAACAACAGAATGAACAATCTTTGATTCAGTATCTGCAAGTTTATATTGGCTTCAAAAATTGTGAAAATCTAATATTAGTGAGAAAATAAAAGAGAGAGACAACCAAAAGAAGCCTCCTGTCCCACAGAGCCAGAATAAGATACTACCAGAAACTGTAGGTTTTTCAACAGGATAAGCCTGATCTAGAACTCCGAGATACAGCTGCTGCAATCTCACATATTTTCCAATATTCAGAACAATTTAATAATTTCTTTCTAAAACTCTACGCGTACAACCCTTGATTCCCATAAACAATTTCACCTCCCAAATTACTTCCTCCTTTATGAATTTTTCCCTTTTCCACCTACCACGTTCCTCCGCAACCACAACGCTACTTAGTTTTGTAGCTTGTGAAGACTGAGCGGACAGCAATGCTTTTTGTGAACAAGTGGTACTGTTTTCATAAATGGGCTCGACAGTGACTATATCGTAATGCGTGGAGTACCTGAAAGAAAGAGGAAGATTTTTTTCCCTTCCACTCAGAAAGATATCTATGTGTTAAAAAAAAACCCCAAAATTGGCAGGTTGCTTAAAGAAACATAGAGCAATATTACTCTCAAACGCTCCTTTTTTCCCCTCCATATTTATTCCTGTAACAACATCTTTAAATACGTTAATTTGAGTGAGTGCTTGTTACAACAGCTCATGTATCCAGTTCCAAAGGTGAACCAGGCCAACAGTTTCTGGTTCCCTCTCTCCATCTTTTCATGTTGACAAAGAGCAGTGATAAGAGCCCAGAGGACAAACAAAGCCTGCTCTGACCACATAAACTGGCCTCTCACAGCCAAGCACAAGCAGACGGGACAACAGCCCCGGGCTCACCTGCTCCCTTTCAGAGCACAGAGGCCCCTCTGGCGACAGTACTCCAAAAAAAGCCACAATCCTGAGCTCTTTCTGCCTCAGGACAGACCCTTGTGCTCCCCCAATATTTCCCTGGCCCGGAAGAACCCTCCCTTAGCCCCTTCCTTCTCCAGTCCTGTTACTTACAGAGGGCTCCCACTTGCTTAAAGCTTCCCAGCTCCCATCCTGCCCCCTCAACACAAAACCCCTCTCAACAGGGGCAACAAACCCCTTAATCCCTTAGCACTGCCCCCTTCCTCACCAGGAATAACAGCCACCCTCAGCCTCTAGCACAAAGGGAACCCGGAGCTCCCTACTGAAGGGCAACAACACTTTGGGCACGTTGAGCTTAAAGGCGCGGGCGACCACCAGGAAGGGCAGGAAAAAGAAGAGGAGCGGAGCC